TTTGATAAGAAATTCCGAAGATAAAGAAATTGAGAGCTCGGGTATTTTCTTCTCGGTTGTAAGATTGAGATTTGATTCTGGCATATCTATGATTGTATTATCACTTGAACAAAGAACGTTTTTCAGATGCTCACCTATTTTAAGTCTCGATTGTGTAAGTTGGTTTTTTTCGATCAAGTGATACTTTAGATCACACTTTGTCTAGTGTCATTCTCCGTAATATAATTTTTGGAGGCTACATTAACAGTTTATTATTATTATTAAGTTGCTAAGACTAATGCGTGATTGCATAATAAATTTGCATTATTTACCATCCTTAATTTTTTGAGCCAGCCGATTGGCCCGTTCCCTATAATGATTCAAGGCCTTCGATGATGATGTCTGTGTGTTCCTTCAAATAATCTGGAACAATACTCATTAGTAACTGCAAATCTCAAAAAAAAAAAAAAAAAGGCAATAAGACAAAATCAATTACCATCGATTTTAGTTTTTTGAAAAAACTCTTTCATAAAAACGTTGTATCCCGACAGCGCACGTTTCGTTGTCTGAATGCGTGTCCGAGGTGTTGTTGGTCTTCTTGGCGCTGTAGGCTTATGTTTAGCCTTTTCATTGGTAATCCAGTTCTGCAAAAATGTCGATTATCAGCGTAAGTTGATTTTTTGGGGAAAGTTGTTTAAATAAATCTCACACACTTTAATGATTTCAACAGTAAGGCCTGTTTCTGAGGCCACTTCCTCGATCAGACTTATTTCGTAGTGGTTTATCATCCCCGCTGCAAATTTTTGTCTGAGGATGTTAATTTGTTCTTGAGTAAATACTGTGGTCTTTCTGAGCATGTTGTCTCAATCTTTTACCAATATTACATAGTAACGACGTTCATTTTTCTTATAAATTGGTAAGAAGCTTGATAAGCTAGTATCAAAGTCTTTACGAGATAATGTAGAAGATGTGTGAACGTCCGAAGAAAAAAACCTATGCCTCGCAAAATCTGCAATATAACGAATCACACCTTCAAAAAATTTTTTGATTCGTCAATTTTGACGCATAGATCGATCCTGTTAGATTTTTTACAATGGAGTATAGTGTTTGGGAAGAAAAAGAAAAAGAACACTGAACATACAAGATTTGTCTGGAAAGCCTTACTGAAAGTTCTCATTTATTAAAAGCTCGTGAC